AGGATCATCCTTTTCAACCTCAGATTTCTGAGGTTCATCTTTAACCTCAGAAAGCGTAGAATTTGAGGTTTCCTCAAGTTCATTTTCCTTACAGTCTGTCCTTTCATTGCTTGTAAAATTATGGGGATCAGAAAATTCCTCTGTTTCATCTTTTCCAACCTCAGATTCCTGAGGTTCATCCTTCTTAATATCAGAAGCCGAAGAATCCCAGGTTTCCTCAAGTTCATCTTTATTACAGTTCTTTTCTTTATCTATAAAATGATCAGGATTAGAAGATTCCTCAGATTCATCTTTCTCGATCTCCTGATTTTGGGAATCCAAGCTTGCCTGAGTTCCATCTTTATCGGGAGAAATCCTTTCTTGCCCAGTGCTAATCTCAAATTCCTGTGTCTCACTTGCATTTTTGAAGACCACAGCATTTTGGAGATCAGACAGATGGCCATCATCAATTTCTTCATAGTGATGATCAATTACTGGAGATGAAAGTTCACTAACTGAATCTGGCTTCATCTGTATGATGTCAGAATGTGAGCTACTTGAAGATCCAGCTGCATTGTTAGCAGCAGGCAGAGATTGGAAAGCATCCCAATCATCGTCATCAGCATCAGCACCAGCACCATCTTCTTCTTTTGGTTCATTTTTGTCATCATACTTCACAATAAAATCTGGAGCCCATGACTGGTGAACTTCAATAACATTTGGCTTCAATTGTACAGGCGTCTTGGGTAGCAAACTGATCTTTGTTTGTAATGTAATATGACCTTGATTAATTGATTCTCGAATCAAATCCTGAAAGCAACAAAAGGAGATCACATTTTCGCCCATGGACAAAAACACATACGAAGGCATAGATAGTACAAAAGAAGCACAGATAAAGAAGAAAACTAAAAGCTTGATCCTACTACCAAGCCTCCAACATGGGCGACATCTTCGGTGATTTATGGCACAATTTTAACAAAGAGATAAAGAGCAAGTAAGAAAGTGTGGAAACGTGTTTTATGCACTCCGGTAGTTATGATAATAAATTTGGAAAATAAAAGTAGTTTAGTTATGTTTCCAAATATGCACCTGAAGTTGCAGTCTGACTGATCCCTGCATTGATAACATTATATCTTTGATTTGTATAGCAAATGAAGGAATCTGAACAAGATGAGAAACGAGCCTCTTCACAATGTTTTTGACATCAGTAATTTCCTGAAATCGTTATCCAGTAAAGATGTAAGGTAATAAGAAGATAGGAAACATTTTTAGCAGAGCTATTAAGTTAGCAAAAAGCTTGAATAACCTGTGAATAGTTTTCACTGGATACATAGAAAACCATGAGAAGAGCTTCCAAAAGCAACATTGTAATCTCCCGCAAATCTTCCCTTTCTTTTGAAAGTGTGTAAAGGAGAAGCAATAGCCTTAAACATTCTTCAATAATTGATACGGATTCCCTGCTAATACTTTCCTGCATATAAAAATGCTATGAGAATATGTTGACTGTTTAATTATGAACAATTAAAATCGGGTTACCTTCAATGTACGTTGGATCAGAAGAAAAACATCTCCAAAGAATTCTCCAATGAAGAATAGAGAGAAAGAATGGTTCTTCATATTCAGGCCTTCAGCAATTTCTCTCTGAGCAATGTTTTTCAGAACATGGAGTCCAATTGTCTGCACCTGCTGACAGAGAGTTCACATACCAAGATATTTAAGTTGTAATTTATGACAGTTTTTTGCACATATATAACAAGTCTAGGATTTAGCTACCTGTGTGTTCTCCTCATTTAAAGTATCTCTCATGCATCTTGTGCAATGACTGACAATAGCAAATAGAAGAATATGGTTTTTTTCTTTTCTCCGTCCACAATACAGAGTTTCATGAACTAATTTGGTAAGAGCCACAAATTCTTCTAAACAGAAACTAAGTATCTTTCCGAGAACTCTGCTTGAGTCACTGGTTTTATTCTCCATAAGACGAGTTCTTTTAATGCAGTCTTGACACAAAAATCCAAGCATACTCCTCCAAGCTCCCAAGACTGGTTCTTGACAGGAAAGATCATTTGTCTCTATACCAGCTTCATCTGCAAAACAAATTTCATATGTTGCTATTATGGGAACTTACCACAAATCATTGGTTTAAATATCCTCGATATTGCCCAATATATAGGTCGATATTTCCTTTTATAGGGCTTTACGTGAAATGATATGGTCTCAATATCCTTTACCACTTTTTGGCAATTTTTTGGCGGCATATCCTGGACATGGCTGATATATCAGCCGCTATGTTGGCAGATATATCATTTTATATAGCTTGTTGCGAAACATTATAATATTGGATTAATTTCTTTAATGTTTTATAGCAAAAACTTCAGAGATATGAAGTCTTTTACCAAGATTCTAGTGGGCTCTTTTCCCTAAATAAGTTTCTACAATTGGTTACGATCCTAAACATATACTCTTTATATTTCATTATGTTTACATTTCATTAAGCATATTTAGATTACATTTTAGGGCATTATATTATATATACACATCTTTGGACATGATACTCCAATATTGACTACATATCCCTGATATATGCAATCTGATATGGATTTTGGCAGTCCGACATTTCTCCGATATAAGATATTTAAAACCTTGCTATAAAGATCATCACAATAAATAACTTATAATTGGAGAGAGAGAGAGAGAGAGAGAGAGAGAGAGAGAGAGAGAGGAGGGAGGGGGATAAATGAGTTGTAGAAGTCATCTTACTATTAGCCATCGATAAGGAAATGCATGTACGGTTTTATTCAAAAAATAAAACTTGTACGAGTGACAATATCTTGAAGGCAGAAGTCCCTAATAAGAAGGCGCTTCATGTTTCTTTGAAATATCAAGAAGAAATTAATAGACTTCCTTTTACGAGGGTGCATTGTTATGGCTATCTTTGAGAGCCTTCACATAGCTAAGGAGATCAAGGATAAGTATGACAAATTATTAAGTTTAAAATTAGTGATCAACATGATACTATTACCTCTTTGTAGATGAATACCAATAAAAGCTTCATCTCTGATTAAATAAAAGTCTAGGAATAGGAATACCTTCAAATTTCACATATTCTATCAAGTCAAAAACATACTGTTGCAGTTCATGCTATATATTGCATATATACTTTTTCACATCTGTAGGCATGTATGTCCAGGCAGGCTTGTGTGCTTGTATGCATATAAATGGTATTTCAAATGGGTAGGTGCATGTATAGATGCTCTTAGTATTTTAGTTGCACAACATCCACATCCTTACAAACCACTATTAATATTGATCTTATAAACCACTATAAATATTGATTACGTCTTTCCATTTCAACTTGAAGAAAATAAAAAGAGAAGGAAAGGAAATATGGAAAAAGAAAATATAATCATTTGAAAACATAATTAATTTGAGATATATGTACCTCTGATATATTTCTTCAGGAAAGGCATTATATTTTGTAGAAAGGCGATTACTCTTGGCAGGCACATATTGGTTGAAGCTTCCTCGAACAATTCACAAGAAACTGACATAAGCGCCACTATGAACCTTATCTGATTTTTCTGTTCAAAAGACATTAGAAATCATCTCTTTTTTCGAGAAGGGAGGTAAAATCTATGTCAAAGCACCATGTCAAAATAGTATAAATAATTTCAATCTATTGTTACAAAACAAATAACATAATTATCAATTATAAGGTACAATGGTGGAAGCAAATCAAACATTTAAGCCTAGTTGGCTTCATACACACCTTATCCTTCACCTGGCGTGCTATTTCTTGAGCAACCACAGATAATTTGGAAACCAAATCGGGCAAAATGACATTTTTACTGGAGCAAGAAAATTTCAATGTTTAGATAATAGTTGGACTTTATTCATGATCAAAACCAAAGGGCCAACATAAATTTCTCATCTCTTTCCAAGAAAAAGATTAGAGCAGCTACCTTTGAAGTGTTATTGACAAGCATTTGAAATACAGTTCTGTAGCTGAAGCTGTGAAGTCTTCCACTTCAAAAAAAACATCAGGGCAGCTAATAACAATCTGTTGGCAAGAATAAGACAATTATAAGATTTCCTTTACAAAGATGTTAAGTATAAAATTATATCCCTTAACGCTCACAACCTTGGAGTTTTGGTGTAATGGTTAGGGACTTTAAAATGGTATCCGAGTCACCCAGATTCAAATCTCAGGCTACTAATTAAAAGCAGATTTTCTAAAAATTGATATTGTTGCGTGAGTCCCTCAACCCTTACTACAACTTTTGGTGCTATGGTTAGGGACTTTAACATGGTATCAGAGCAACCCAGGTTCAAATCTTATCGACCACGAATTTAAAGAGAATTTCTAAAGATTGACACCACTGTGTGAAAGTTTTGGCCCATAAAAAGGGCGCTCAACCTAGGGCGCTCGCACACCAAAATGCACAGAGGAGTTACATGATTGGTCCTCAAAAACCAAATGCATGTCAGGATTCCACTAAAAAATGGTGACGTATCTTCATATAATCCCAACAATGACAATAGACATCCAAATAAGAAAAGCTACACCGCAGAGGGTTCTCTATCCTCAACAAAAAAGTTAGTAGTCTTTATTCATACTTTTGAGGTTGGTTACTTCCATCACTCATGCCACGTCAAACTAAAATCCAAAAACAATATTTTATTCATCCGAAGTATTGTCTATCGGTTTCATCATTACAGTACAGATTTTTCTTTTTCACCTTTTCTTCTAGCTTACTTTCATCCTTAAAATAATACCTTAAATATTCTATTGAAATAAACCACTGAAGACCATAAAAAAACCTAAAATTAGATTGTATCATTCTAAAATGAAAGAAAAATTACACCTAAGCCTTCTAGTCTTCCTTCTATTAGCAAAGCAGGATTAGGTTCCATATCGAGGTATGACCTATTTTAGTGATTATCTCCCTTTTAGTGTTCTTTATTACTTAAAGAGAAAATTTAACAGTACAGCCAAATCTCTGGATTTGTCATCTAGATCTGTAAAGAATTATAATTCTAGATCAAAAGAGGTGTTTAAATTAGACCATTCTCACATTGTAAAGGTACTTCATGAACTGATGTCAAACGTGAGGGGTAGGGTAAAGAAACTAATGGCAACATACTATCATAGTACTATACTAACTTCACCTGACTATTGAGCGCATGCTTTATTGTCAGATTTGATTAACTTCATGATTCATCACCACAGAATCCAAGTTCTGTCCAGATTTATGTCGAAATTTAACTGAAAATTTTACAATTGGCCTTAATGTCTGACAGGGAGTTTGAAGGATTTGATTTGAGTTGCACTTGCCATATTGACACATCTATTGGTCGTTGAAAGGCTTTTTTAACTTTTACATTCTTTGCTTTCAATATGTAGATGTTTTCTAATCTAGAAGTGGGAGTACTTTACCTGTGATAATAAACATACAGCATGATTATTCCGCGAGTCAGCCATGATATCAGCATATATAAGAACCTGCAACAGTCAAAGGCAATCAACATAAGACATGTATCAAACTTAAAATTCCATACCTTCGTTCTGCATGAGCCAATATGAATCATATACAACGCTTAACATGAAACTACATACAGCTATTCAGTTTTTCTGTAGAATCTGATGATTCTATACTTTTAGTTTCCAAAAGTTATCAGAAATTATGAACTTAAATGCTGGAGTAAGCAACATGTGGATAATATAGATATGTTAGAAAAGATTAGCAGAATTTAAATAATCAGTGACACTTGCCTTGCCCAACAAGAATACTTTGGCAAGATGGGAGTGCGACAAAACTGTTAAAGTGACTCTTCTTTTGTAAGAGGAGCACATCATTGTAGAAGGTTAAAAGACATCTTTTGTTTTACAAAAGAGTAACAAGAGTACAAGACCGCGTAGGAAAATGCAAGGAGGTGAGATGACATGGCATTAATACTTTTAACATATTTATAGCTATCTCTATTATCTCTTCCCTCTTTATTACCCTTGAAAAGGGTAGCCCAGTGCAGGAGGCTCCCACCATTGTGGGCTCTGGAAAGGATCAGATGTATTCAGTTTTACCCCTGCATGCGAAGAGACTTGTTTCTAAGATTTGACCATAACCTCCAGATCATAAGGCAACAACCTTACCATTACGCCAAGGCTTTATTACCCTTGAGATTTTAGGTTATTTAGTCCCACTGTAAAACTTTTCCTCCATGAGCTTTGAACTAGTTATAGTAGTTATTTTCGAAACTAAAGGCTTCTACCTTCTGCATGGCAACAGTCGCTCCACCACTTTTAAAGCTTTATTTTACTAAACCAAACACCATGTATGGCTTGAAGTATTTCACTTTCACAATTTTACTCATCTAGCAAAACCCCCATATGGTAGCAACAATGGACATGGATTCACCAATTTTGTCTACCGAAGTAAAACACTGTAGTAGGCCAAAACTTTGGTGCAGAAAATTCAGATGCAACCAACATCAATACTACAAGCAACAAAAACTTTATTACAATTTTTGGGATCTTATACAAGATCGTTTTCCTACTTTCAACTTTCAAGCGCCATTTTTCTGTTAAACTAACAAGTGCAAAACAACACCACTAACAAGTATCCAGCAAATTGACACAAGACAGTATCAGTTGCACACATTTAAATCGTTTTAATTGATTGGAGTTACTTTCAGCTTCACACAAGACTTATTCCTAAAAGAAACAAATCGAATAGTAATATGTTCGAGTTCAAATTCAAATTCGGTGAGTTCTGCAGGATTCAAATTCAAATCTGATTTGAAGAAAGTTGTATTCTACTTTGATTTGAATCTATATCTTATTGTTCTCTAATTGTTCGCAAAATTCGTTAGCGTAGCTGGCGAGTATTTTAGAGTGTAGTAGCTTTGATCTTGGGTTTGAATCCTCGTGGCAACAATGTTTTCACTAGTTTATTTTGGAAATTTTCAAATATACCCTCGACATTGTATGTATAATTGAATCTGCTTTCCAAATCAATATAACTGTTCATCTGGCCTCCAACCTATTTCCTTCCTTCAATTTTACCCGTCAACATAACCAACAAAGAATAAAGTTTGTAGTAAATTAACTTTATGGAACTCAAATGTAAAACATAAGAATATTTAACAATCAACCGAATCAAATACAGATATGGTTAAATTCTATTTGTCTATGAATCAAATACTAAAATATATTAGTTTACTATTAAATGAACAACCGAATCGAATATAACCGAATAATTAGACGAACAATTAACAAACTATTTGTTAATTGTTTGGTTCTTTTCCAACCCTACTTATCACATCGCTAACTAGGATCCATAAATTGGGACGAGACACATCAGTCGCACACATTTCAACCATCTTAATTGAGTGGGTTTACTTTCAACTTTTTACAGGCTTTGTTTCTTATGACATCTCTTAGACACTTGTCCATCTTAAAATTTTCATTTCATCGAACATATTTTCAGGACCTCTCAACTGCCCTCATTCTAATGCAAAGTGTGGCTTTTTTCTGTAGCCGCCTTGCTTCCACATTATAATATTCTTCATTCAGTTTCATGGTTATCTATTATCACATCAATGATGCTTTGGTTTCATAAAGAACATCCACAATATCACCAACATGTATACTTTAAAAGAGACATGTATGTCACTGGGATACATTGTAAATACGAAAGCTATTAGTGCAGTTATCCTTCTATTGCTAACTGGCACAATGCAAAGTTTTTATATAGTCAATCATTGTTCATGATGGAAGAGCCCATAGTCCTTAAGTTGTCTTAGGATATCTACAATCATCAGATGATTGTCATTTATGCGGGATATATTTCATGCACTTTCTAATGTCTGAGCAATGAAGCTCATTATTATTTCTTAACCTGCTTTAAGTAGCCTGTGAGCACATTTGCTAAATGTTCCTGGTTCAATTATGATAAATAAATGACTAAGAAATTTCATGTGAGCCTATCTTAGTATCGCTATTGGCGATTGAATTGGGAAGCAAGATAGATAAATTTACACACAAAGGTGTTACTGAATTAATTAACAAATGAATCTACCAATAGAAAATATTATCATCTTCCACCTTCATCTAGGCCTTGCAATATCAGAGATTGTTTATGGTTTCTCCTTGGTTCCATCAACTTAAACTGCATGGCTCATAAGATAGGTTCCTCTTGCAGACAACAGATGTCCATAGGTTCTACGGAAGGTCACTTTATTATACTGTTACTTCAGGGAAAAATTGGCACTAGCTCAGAGGTTATTGTTAGGTGGACATTTGACTGTAGAACTTGGTCAATAATTCTTTTACGCCTTCTTGTCATGGAATTCTACTCAATAGAAGATCTCATTCTAATGTGAATAAGGTTTAGAAGACAAAATGATTTCCACTATGCGAGTTATGCAGAGGCAATCTACTGATTGCACAAGAAAATATAAGGCATGTTTCTTACCTGAAGAAGTTCTTGACAAAGGTCCAACGTAAGAAATTCATAACAAAAGAATGCATCTTTCGAGAGAGATTGAAGTACTGGTGGCCAAACTTCATCTGAGGTTAAATCAACTTTCTTTTGAGCCATGGCATCTCCATCATGATTATATTTTCTCCAAAGAAGAGGTGCCTTTAGGATTGAGCCTATCCCTGGTTGCTGACCATGGAACAAAACAAGTAATGCTAGCCCCCACAGAAACTGATAATCCCGGAATTCTAATTTGACCATGTTGTGGCCCGATATTAGTGAACGTTTTGATAAATCTTCAGCATTGGATTTTTCTGTGCTATTCATTTCAATATTAATAGGAACTGCATCAAGACTAGTCGCTTGCAAAATGAGTGGCCAAGATTCTTCTAGACAGCATTGCAGCTTGGAAGTGACCAATGGAGATTGAATGCCATCAAGGAAAGGATTGTACTGTATACAGTAAATACATGTGAAAGGGCAATGACAGATAACATTAAATAAATTTAAAAAGTTGGAAATTTCATGTCTTCCATCTTATGGTAACTTACCCTAAACTTTGTATTCAGTCCAAAGCTAATATACATATAGTCCTTCAGGACACAGATCCAGTACTTCCCCAAAATGCTTGAGCAGCTAGAGAACCGAGGTGTCAACTGCTGATATTCTTCCGGAATACCTTTGTTCTCTGTAAGAAACTGATACACATAACACTTGATGGAGGCATGGGCTTCCAGAAGTCTAACCTTGATCTGTAAAAACCATAGAATTGAGTGCTAAATGGAGGCATGTGAACAACAAATGATACTAAGTTCAAAGTTACGTGATTACTATGAGATTACCTTGCAAGCAACCCATTCAGCAAAAGATGGATAATACAAATCTTTAATGTCATTCAATGGGCGTGAAATTAATGAAAACATACGATCAAGAGCAACACGGTCCCCACTAATAATGCTGCTTGTTAGAATCTGAAATTTCCAGAGTAAACATCATACACATTCCAAATAGCGGATCAAGTTAATTGAATAATGAACAACAGGGACGCCCGACCTTTGTGGCTAACTGGAGACCAGCCTCCAAAAGGAGAGGACCAGAAGACATACTTATGACCGATCTAACTGCAGAGACAAGTTGAGCCTGGTTGGGAAAGATTAATCAAATATTATTCTTCTTTAACTAAAGTTGCAAGCATAAATAACTGTTGATTAGCCAAACTGAATAGGTTATCACTACCACCAAGATAATATAAAAGCAATAAAGGGAAAAAGAGGGATTTACCTGATACTGTTCCAACAAAAGGTGTCCAGGCAGTTCCGGATCTGGGATATTTCCAAACTATAACCCAAACCAAGAAAGAAATCAAAACACATATTAGGATGTCATCAAAGTTATGTAATAATTCTCAATAAAAGCTTAGTCAGTTATACCAATGAGGCAAAACATTTACTACCACAAATTTCAAATGAAGTTTTTCTCCTACTTATTGGACAATGTCTATTTTATGTAGCTTAAACATTGTTCTTTCGGCAATAATGGAACTTAACGTCCAACAGGAGGCTAGGCTGGCTTGGTATTAATAGTTCACCTTCCTCAAATGCAGATTAATTAAGTTAATAGTATATTGCTTTTGGTAACTAATTACTTTCTTACTGACATCTATCGAAATCTGCACATAAACATTAACAAATGACATTGATTAAATATAAAATGTACTAATAATTAGCATAGGAAATAATCCCATAATGTTTCTTTTAATTTTTTAACTTTCTGCAGCATCTGGTAGTAAAATATTCCTAAAGAACTCATAAACGAGGAATCCACTCGCACATATCAGCTAAATATAGGAAACTACTGTATAATGCTTGCATGAATAACAACAGAAGCAATGTTTTTCTCCGGGATACAATACCTTCTCCATTATGACACTTAAAAGTTTCACACCTATTGACTGCATGCCTTCAAACGGACCAGTGCTTATCTGTGATAGAAATATATCCATCTATCAATATAAGAACTACCCAGCAAATCTAAAGGAAATCCAATACAACTGCACAGGCTCAGTCTGTCAGACCTGATAAGCAAGGGACAGTAGCTCTTGTAAGTGAAGCACTAGCCAATCACCAGAGGAACTGTGTTCTTTAGTGGGTTGCTTCCTTGCCATAGAGAGGTCGAAATGTGCTGGGTCTGTTCCAACAGCTTTTGGCAAATTGCTCAAGCACCTGCAAACCATATAGATTTGGTTGTGAATAGTGAAAATCAGTGTAATAAAATAAATAAGCAAGTTAGGACTTTTTGACTATCCAAAAGTTTGCATCATAAAATTGACTATTATTTGGAAATAATCAGAAAGAAGAAACAAAGTTACACGTTTTACTAAATGCAGAGACGAAGAGACTAAGAAAATTTTGTTGAACTTTTTATATCTCTTAACAGAGCTCAACCTAAAGATACAGGAATTCTGGGGTTATTCATAGGGTTGCTTGGTAGGTTTCATAACATGAATCACCTATCCGTTAACTTTCTTTTATTCCTTCGCAGAATAAGAGAATGCAGACTGGGGGTTAGTGCGGGGTGTTAATGCTATTTGCATTCAGTAAGCAATGATATTAGTATATATGGTCCATTACATAGCACAGAAAGAGTAATTGGGACACACTGGAATATGGTACTGTTAGCAAAAAAACAAGAACCACTTACTCAGCAGCAAATACCCTGGTCCGGTATCTTAGATGTTTCTCTCTTTTAAGAATAGTACTGACGATAGAGTCAGCACCATGCAACTGCTCACCAGAGCTAGCAATCATGTCCTCATCATCTTCTCCATAAAATAGCCTTCCATCACCTTCAGATGTAGCACTGTGGTCATTTTGTAAATTTCCATGCTTCTCAGAAGCATTCTTCCTCGTCGATGTTGCAAGAACCTGAACTATAAGCTGCATGTAAGTAACTGAATCCACAAGCTTACAAAATGCTTAGCAAATACTATTTACGGAAAAAGATGTTAAAAATCTTGTTTCTAAACAGATTTTTGCTAGATGGTAAGCCGAACTAGCAATGTATCAATTTAAAATTGATTATATACGTGGACACGATAATCATTGGCCTGATTTTCTAACACATGAAATTTTACAGGGTACCAATGCGCCGCAATAACTCCTCCCAAAGGGGAGGAGGAAGGAATGGAGGCAGCAATGGAAGGAGTTATACTCCGACTCACCCAAATTCATAGAGAATTATCTCAAAGAAAGGAAATACTAGTGTCCCTTCATCATCCTCTTCTAAAGGATAGAAGACTTGATTGCAAAGGAAAATATACCTGAACCATTCTCCGCCATAGTCAAGAAAGATGTAGAATGGTATATTAAAACCATCTCTGACACTGTTCTTTATATAGAACAAGAGGACATTCCTCTTATGAAAAATGTCGACAAACTAAGACAGAAATACTTAGTTCGACGTACTACCCTACATTGTCTCTTAAACCTAGAGCATGGATGAAGACAATACTCATCCAGAGAGGTACGAAAATCACACATTTTTAGAGTAATGAAAATCATATCGTCCCTCCAAACTTCAGTAAATGTGTCATCAAAGAAGTCATACTTCACAGAGATTGGGTAATGAGTACTAACCAAGAATTTCTCCTGGTCAAAACTCCAAACAAAAAAATTTATAATTTTAATTATTGGGATTACCAATCAGCCTTTTATCAACTGTTCATCTATCAAAACACCAAGAACAAACATATATGACAAATTAAGCTATGTCCAGAAGCTATTTATAAAAATCTACCCACCTAGTTCTATATTTGGTGGTCTAAATATGGGGCATACCTTATATAGTACCCGAACCCATATCAAAATTATATACCCCTTGGGTAGACTCTCACCCAGTCATCCAAAAGATGGATGAGAATCAAATTCTCGAAGGTCTGTGCTCAGCATATTTCTTCGTTGAAGCAGAAATCCCATGGATCTGTAATTGGTCCTTAGAAGTTGTATGGGATGAACTTCACTTATCATCTCTTCAAAGAAAATATCATAACAAATGGTGGACGAGTATCACCATCCAAGACAAGGTGAAACAGATAGAAGAGATTATTAAGAGGAATAATAAAATCTTTGATAATACCTTAACTCAGGAAATTCAAAATGAAAACTCTATGGTTAAACTAGCAAAAACAATAAAGAGAAAATATCCTCAAGCTACAGAAGCTGAAATTCAACAAAAATGCCTTGAGCATACGAAGAAATAATTCTTCAAGGTATTTGACAATAGTGATATTATATCAACAAAAAGTATAAATACACATATCCGATCAAAATACCCAAGGGATAGATATCCCTACCAAACGTACAAGATCCTTATGAGAAAATTGCAGAAGAAATATGGGAAGCAGCCATAGGAGCTCACAGATGTAAAGGGTAAAGGTATTGAACAGTTATAAATTGTCACTTACCTACAATCATAAATGACTTTTTTACTAAAGTTATAGCTTTACTTCTCTAACAAGTTATACTTTACTAGAAATAACCAAGCTGTTACCTAAGAGATAAGATCGAAGAAAGAAAAAAAGAGATTAGGTGCGTGATGGGGCCCACAACGTACCCGACACTCTATCCTTTACTTTGAGCTGAGCCTCGGGGAGCCGCTCTTAGTGCTAAGTAACGCATACAGTGACGTAAGATTCCACCAAGGAAAGGCGCTGAAAGATAATACGCACCAGAATCGTCGGCAATAATGTGTTTACTTTAACTCTTCTCCAACCAGCTGTCCAAAGGCAATCAATAAAAAGATTCCTTTTTTAGCCATAAATAAGGAAGAAGACTTCATAGTTCAGTGTGCTTACTTTCAGTCTTAGATTTTTCAATGTTAAGGGAAAAGAGCTTCACTCTCTACCTGATACTTTACCGACTTTTCTTTCTCTATCTTCCTCTTTGTAAAGGTTAGCCGACCTAAGACTTTGTAATAAAGAAGTTGATGAAATAAACTGGAGGAAACAGAAGTTCTATTTGAAATAGCAGGCTTCAATCTGTAAGTAATATTATCTTTTTACTATCTTTTTATTAAGTTATTTAAATTGTGCCAAAGTTCTATTTGAAATAGCAGGCTTCAAACTTGTGGGGAATGAGTATTTCATTCATAATATTCTAAAATTCTGAAGGGGCGTTCTTAAGCCCGAAAGGCATTACATTCCATTCAAAGTGTCTGAATGGAACAACAAATGTAGTTTTATAACGATCATTTTCTTCTATTTGTATCTGGTAATATCCTGACTTAAGATCAAATTTAGAAAAGATCTTTGCATTGTTAATGTGATTTAATAAATCTCTTTTGTTTGGAATAGGATACATAATCCACTTCAAAACCGTATTTAAAGGTTTGTAATTGATAATAAGATGAGGGATTCCTCCCTCTTGTTCTGCATGGTTATTAACATAGAAAGTTGTGCAGCTCTAAGGAGAATATGATTTCCTTATAAGTA